GGACCACCAGCACAGCACCTGAATAGTGAATAGTGAATACCCATACATTAGTTGCAGCACAGACACGTCATGGCAATTAAGTCTCTCAACATTCGGCGATATACCTACTTTTTCATTTTGTATAATTGGAAGTATTTGAAAAAATTTCTTAAAATCTTTTGTAAGCTACATGACTTAAATCAGTATGTAGAAGAAACTCAAAATCCTTGAACGCAACTTTTTTTGAACAGCAATTTGTCTTCAAGTTTGTGCCCTTCGTTTGCTAAAGATCGGCACATGTCGATTTGCCCTCATCTTGATATGTGTAATTAGGAGGGGCAAACAGGCGGTGTGTCGGGTCGAATGTGGTTCGGATCGAAAACGGATAATAAAAAAATAGATAAATTATTCAATCCGACCCATATTTAATACTGATAAAGAAAAGGTTAATCGGCGGATAATATGGGTAACCATATTATCCTTGACTTTTTGCATATAATCACTTTTGAGAGAATTCCTAGTCTCCCTAACTTGAGGAACCCCCAATTTGAGGCTTTACAAATGTAAAGGTTAGACCTATTATGACACGACCCAAAATTCACTAAGTGTCGTGATGGCGCCGGACACTGCTGTCAGGCAAGCCAACCAAAATACTAAATTAAATTCTCGTTTTAATAATTTTTTAGAACTATGATTTTCCTTCAATTTTACCAGTAAAAGATAATCGTTTCAAATCAAATATGAATGTTAAGCAGTTAATACAAGATATCCCATAATCATCCCAGAACCCGGTGTCACAAGTGCATAAGCATTTACTATGGAATAAAATAAAATACAGTAACTGTCCGGAATACAAGGTGGACAGTAATGACAACACCATAAAATACTCTGAAGGGGACTCTGCTGGCTGCGGGTCGTCTCGACAAATGCAGCTCACCTAAGTCTCCGTATCAACTATGCCGCTATGCTACTAAGCCACTAGACACATATGAAGTTGTGCAACAAAAATGCACAACAAGTGTAGTATGAGTACGAAAACAACGTGTACCCCATGAGTATCCCGTCTAATCTCGAAGAAGTAGAGACGAGACGTCGACTTCGACACTTACTAGTGGTCCAATGATAATATAGCAAAAATGTGAGGAGATCAAGGAATTTAATAAAACAACAATTAAAATTCATAAAGCCAGATAGCAGGTAAACAACTTCCCAAATAATAATGGATTTCCAAAGATTTACCTTTCATTATCTTTATCAATTCTCCGGCCAGAAAAGGCAAATGTCAACATCTATAAATCTCAAGCAACAATACAAGCATGTGCATATCATGATGAGGTCATACCGCCCGATCCAACATAAATGTAAAATGTGCACTGCTGAGGGTCGAACGACGCGAACCATAGATGCATCTATTACCCCGCTCGCGAATCATCCATTGACGCAGTCAACATAAAATAAACAAATACTCTGCTCGCGAATCATACATGTGACACAGGTACACATAGAATCACATATTCAAACAGTTAATCAAGACTTCATTAGGGAACAACTATCCAAGGAAAATCCAAATTCTTTTTTTTTTACGATTTAAGAAAAATGAAATTTAATCCTTTTAGAAATTCATTTACCAATTCGATAGAATTTAAGCAATTCAAACCGCCAATAGGATTACAAATATTTTCAAGTACAACATACTTTTAGGTCCTAGACTATCCGGACAATAGCATAATAGTAGCTACGCACGGATTCTCGTCACCTCGTGCATACGTAGCCCCCACAAATAGGAGCACATAACTAATTAACTCGCCTATGGGGACAATGCCCTTTTACAAGGTTAGAAAGGAGACTCACCTCGCTCCGAAGATCCAATCCGGCATTCCACGCTCTTCCGAAGACTCGAATCGATGCATAATGCTCCAATGCTAGCCAATAATTATGCAAATCCATTAATATATGTTAAATTACTCATTACAATCCAATTTATAATAATTCTTAACCCTGATCGAAAAGTTGACAAAATTTCCCTCGGGCCCACGTGCCTGGAGTCCGAAATTTTTCGAAGATAAAGTTTACCCATGAGCTCACGAACTCAACTATATGATTTTCGCTTAATTTCATACCCAAAATCGTGGTCAAAATCCAAAAATATTAATTTTCTAGGTTTTCCCTCAAACCCCAAGTTTCTACAAATTTTCATGCTCAAATCCGTAACAAAACCATGTATTTAACGTCTAATGAGTGGGAACAACTTACCTTGACATAGATGAAGAAAATCTCCCTTCCGAAAGCTACAAAATCGTCCAACCCAAAGTGAAAATGGGTGGAATGAACCAAAACTCGATTTTTAAAGAGAGCTCACTGCCTCCAGTCCTTTCGCACCTGCGGTCTCTTGACCGCTTCTGCGGTCCCGCAGGTGCGGTCCAATTGCCGCTTCTGCGGTCCGAGGCTCCCAACCTATTTCCGCTTCTGCGCTCCTTCTTCTGCAGGTGCCCAGGCCGCATCTACGGTCCCAGCCTTCACCCTTCACCATCGCATCTGTGCCCCTTTGGCCGTTTTTATGGCTCCGCACCTGCTGCCAAATCTTCGCAGGTGTGGTTATACCTGATATCAGTTGCTTCAGCTATTCTTCCAAATTCTAATACGATCCGTTAACCATCCGGAATCCACCCGAGGCCCCCGGGACCCCGTCCAATCACACCAACCAGTCCCAAAATACATTACGGACTTGCTTGAGGCCTCAAATCATATCAAACAATGCTAAAATTATGAATCTACCTCCAATCCAATGTAATGAACTTTAGAATCTCAAACTTCTACATTCGATGCCGAAACCTATCAGATCACGTCCGATTTACCTCAAATTTTGCACACAAGTCATATTCGACATTACAGACCTGTTCCAACTTTCGGATTGGAATCCGACCTCGATATCAAAAAGTCAAACTCTCGGTCAAACTTCTCATTAACCTTCAAATTTCTATCTTTAGCCAAATGACTTCAAAATGATCTACGGACCTCCGAATTCATTTCCGATCGTGCTCCCAATACCAGTATCACCATACGGAGTTACTCCCAGACTCGGAATCCTGAACAGACATCGATAACACTGAAATGCACTTCAACCCAAACTTATGAAATTCTTCCAAAATGCTAACTTCCACAACAGGCGCCGAAACGTTCCTGGGTTTTCCAAAAACCATTTCGGACATAAGCCCAAGTCCGAAATCATTACACAAACCTGCTGAAACCTTTGAATCCCGATTCTGAGGTCGTTTACTCAAAAATCCAACCTTAGTCAATTCTTTCAACTTAAAGCTTTTGAAATGAGAATTCTCTTTCCAAATCAACTCCGAACTTCCCGGAATTCAATTATAACCGTGCGCACAAGTCATAATACCTGAAGTGAAGCTGCTCATGGCCTCAAACTGCAGAACGACGCGCTAGAGCTTGAAACAACCGGTCGGATTGTTACACATTGGTTACCCATTGGTTATCCATTTTCTAAATAGATAATATGGTTCTTATCCATATTTGACCCATTTTTAAAAAGTTCATTATCCAACCTATTTTTAGTGGATAATATGGGTGGTTAACTATTTTCTTTTAACTATTTTGCCATCCCTATAAGTAATGGTGGTCTTGTTCGCTTCTATTGAATATTTGCAATCTTCACTATGGATATTATAAGGGTGTTCCAAATCTAATATACATGTATAATAAGTAATTTTAGAAATATGTACGCAATATAATTTTTTTATATACAATTTTTTGCTAAAAGGTGTTCTACTGACCCCCTTCATTATATGTGGCTACCCCACTGTGTTCTCCTTATTGATAAACCTAACGGATTTGTTTCCACTTCTAAATCTTTGTATACCAAATATTTTGCTAGTGTTAGGACACTCCCAATCTTCCTGTCCATTTCATTATCCTCATTTTTATCTTCTCTTTAGATTTAGCATTATCAGGATTTGATACTTTGAACTGTTCCATTGAATTGATGGACTTAATGTTAGCAGCAACAATTTGTGTCGCTAGTATAATTTACAAGGGAAACTTTAAAAGAATACTAAAAAGTACGACACGACATGAAGAATATTACTATAGTACAACTTAAGATGAAGCAACGTGAAATAAAATCTGCAAAGTGATAAGGATGTTTGATCTTTCAAACGCATTAATCTAGGGACCAATCAAAAGAACTGCCTTTTAAATTGATAGGATTAATTCTACTCTTATCTACTATCAACTTGAGAACTATTTTTAGTGGTAGATAGTGAAAAGCCCTTATATAATTGTCTTTAATTTCTTAATTATCTCTTGAAAAGATTTTAAGATTTCACTGAGAATAAAATCTATTCCGCTTTCTGGTTCTATGGTGCACCAAATTCAAACACATGTTATATTTACCTCTACTTTAATTCATGGAAACATAAGATATTTGCGATAAGAGTAGAAACATCACTCGCCAGTCGTCCCTATAACAGGTTTAAAAGTTGTTTAACATTTTTGTCGAACATATAATTGTTATATCCCGTGAGTTTAACAATATTGACACCCCTGGTGGAATAAGCAAATCCATAATAGACTTGGATAGACGTCGGTCTAGTTATGCCCGTCGTAGTCTATTTATCCAATCAGAGAATGAAGTCTCATTTTTATTGTAAAGACTGTAAACATTTAATTTTTGCTCTTTCTATTTCTCCTACATTATATTTTTTATAGGTTTATTGTGTGTGTTTATAGATTCTAGCATTGGATTATTAAGGGGGTTTTAAGGTTTAGATTAGTGCCATTTTCAGTTGAGTTATGCACAAATCAGGCCCAATTTTTTAGCCCAATTCGGCCGACCCAGTCCAATTGTTGGTTTGTCAAGACCCGGATCAAAACGACGTAGTTTCATAATAAAACTACTCCATTTCAATAAATGAAACATGATCAAATCTTACCCATCCATTCCATCTTAATCCAATTACTCTCATTCATTCTTGGCCTAGGTATTTAAATCCTAAAAAATCTGAAAATTATCCCCATTTTCACCCATAATTCTTTTCTCCTTCCCCTCTCTTCTCTCTCTTTTCACTCTCTCTTTGCCGCCTTTAGCCGCCGCCGGAAATCACCCACCGACGGCAGACCACCTCCAAACACCTTAAAATTCACACCATGTAATCTCCACAACCTCCTCTTTTCATATCTCCAAACCAAATCCTTCAAAAACCCCTCAAACTCTTTGAATCTTAGATCTAGAAAATTTTACCCGTCATTTTTTTTGTCCAAATTCTTGAAGCTCTAACCACTACCACCCCATAACACCTACATCAATGGATAGAACTCCTCAAGACCTACCTATTGATTCCAATTCTACCCCAAAAATCTGGCGACCATAATCCGGCCAAATTTCTGCAACCTCCCCGAACACCCTCTTTTGGCATACCACCATTTTTTCGGCCTTTTGATTTGTAAAATGGTAAAAATCCTATTCTTTTTCATGGCTGATTTTTTATTTTATTTTTAATTTTCAGATTTTATTTTGTCTCTTAATAATTATTTTAGCATTAGTTTTTGATGTTCGAAATATTAAATTTCGTGTTTTTGCACTTGTTGAAGTGGTAAAATTATTTTGTATTGATGAAAGTGAGGTAGTGAAGAATTACTTGAGAGTATAGGGTAATTGTTTTTTTTTTAACTGCTTCAAGACTTTGTGAGTACAAAACTCAAAAGTCATTTGTTTGGTAAGAAAATATAGACTTTTGGATAATTTTTGAATAAAAGTCTATCTTTGAATAGTGAAGAGCAGATTTTGTTTGTAATATTCTCTATTGGACAAGATTGAACCAAAAAAGTCTTGCTTTTGAATTTAAGAGTAGATTTTGTGAAAAAATCTGTCAAAAAGATTGACTTTTAATCTTTAAATAGCTGGTTGTTTTATCAGATATAAAAAAGAAGAAGGAGGACACTCCATCAAACTTAGAGATCTCTACATACACAAAAAAGAGGAAAAAATCAGTAGCTATAATATCCCTTAGCAGCTGAAAATTGTGAGCTTTTGTGAGTTGATTCTTAAGTGAAAAACTTGCTTAAGGAAAATAGAGTAGTCTTGAAATTTTTTTCTGGAGTTACATAATTGTTTGTTTCAACTGTTTTGCTGGGGTATTTCTAGTTTATTTTCTTGGGTTTGAATCTACCGGTTGTCGCTGTCTTTTGCTGTTGTTGTTGCCGTTTAATCGTTTTGCTGTTGATTTTGGAAAGAGCTGACTCTGCTGTATTTGTTCTTCTTTCTGCTGTCCAGGTAATTTTCGGACCATGTAAACTCATAAAATCGAGTTGGAATGAAAGATAATGATGCTGGGAAATATTAGTAGCTTTATCCTTCTATTGTAATTCATTTTTATATGCTCTTGAATGTTTGATAATGTTATAACGATATGTTAGTTAATTAAATTGTGTTAACCATCTTTAATTATTTTTATTTTTATTTTTGCTAAAGCATTAGATATAATTCCACTGGGCGTTTGGTTGTCTGAAAGGAGCATATATATTAAAATTTGAACTCTTGTATCTATGTTTGTCCCTTTGTTGTCACCAAGCTAAGTTATTATTATTATTATTATTATTATTATTATTATTATTATTATTATTATTATTATTATTATTATTATTATTATTATTATTATTATTATATTTTAGAGTCCCAACAATCTTTTTATCTCTTAAAAAATACTTATTTTAATAAGGTAGTTAAGTTGTAGATTAGAAATACAATGTATAAACTTATTTTGTAGATAGTTGGATATGGATTGCAAATAACAAGATAGGGCCAAATCTATAACATGGCTTCAAAAGGTCATATCTGCAGATTTAAAGTCCAAGAGCATATGGGTTTTTGGATTTTGTCTTGGACATGAGCTCATTTGACTCCATCAACCCAATAGTGGGCTGCCTCATTCAACGTCAAGACAAGCCCACATCTTACTAGTTTTAAGCAATGTCAATTAATAATGGAATTTTTACCTCCTATAGCAAAGGTTAAGACCTTATTTATTTTAAATAAATACCATTTAAAAAAATTATATTCTATAGATATCTTTTAAGGTTTATAGCAAATTATTTAATTTTGGTTACCTCCTAGCCCTAAGCCACTAAATACGCTAATTAGTTACACTATTTTCTTTCTCTCTCTACGTTGATACATCCCATTCTCTTCCCCCATCCCATTAAAATTTCTGATCTCCTCCTCCTTCCAACGAATTTGTGCAAAACCCACCTCAAATATTGCTCCGACTTCCACATCCGACAACTGCAACGGCATATTCCTAATGGTTAATCAATTATTCTTAGTGAAAGAATAATTACTTTCTGCACACGATAGATTGGTAATTTGGTATTTGAACTTAAAGGACAACTCCACAAACAGGGAATAGATTTTTGTTTTTTCTTGCTTCAATAGCATAGTTTGGGGTTGCAGTCGTTTTCTTCTTCTACAGGAGACGACTCCAACGGATTTGGATCTTTCTCGTTGTCTTCTTTTTTTTCTTCTTTCTCTCAACACTGCTTATGGAATCATGGTCGGAATTCGATGGGTCGTCGGAAATTGTCGACTAAAATTGATCGTCTGAAGTTTGGGGTTGAGCAATTTGAAGATTCTGTTTCCTTTTTTTTAAAGAGCATTTCAATGTATCTCGTTGTATTTCTATGTATTTCATTGTATTCAATATCTTTTTTTTCTTTGTAAATCAATGTATCTCGTTGTATTCCATATATTTCATTGTATTCAGTGTCTTTTTTTCTCATTATATTTCAATGTATCCCTCTGTATTCTGTCTATTTCATTGTATTCATTGTCTCGCTATATGTATGAATGTATTCGATTGTATTTATTTAATTAATATAATTTATGTATTCAGATGTATTATATAATTTCTCTAAAGATTGCTATGTTTTTGGGGTATTTTGCGGTTAAGAATCTTTTTTATAAGTGAAAAATACAAAATTTGTGTGTTATAATTGTGTTTGAGTTATATTAGGAGTCCATTATGTTAATTGATTCACTTTCCGTTTTAAAAATAGTGTAATCCCCTATTTCACGCAGTGAATATAGTCAAATACAGTCGAATACAATAATCTGTCCAGCTGTAATCCCATATTTCACTCCATGAATACAGTCGAATACACTCGAATACAACAACTGATTAGCTGGACTTCCCTAATTCACGCCTATTTTTGCTACTGTATTCATGAATACAATAGCTTAAATACATCAAATACATCTTATAGCCACAAAAAAGATATCTATATTCCGTAATATAGCAAATGGTATCTATAAATAGCTAATTACTACTAAAAAGTAGTGTTTTATGAAAATTTCTCTTTAAACATTCACTATATCCTCTTGGTAAAAGAAGTCCATATCCGGCTCGATTTGGGTCCAGGAACAATTCAGACGGAGACTTTATTCCAGTTTCTAAAATGTCGAGTGGCCAACTAAAATAATGTATCTCATGACTTTGCTTACGAATTATCTTGATCACTTAAGTGTTGTACTTGTTAGAGTTTGTCCTCATTTTTTTAATTCTTTTTGAGTTTTTGCATTACTCGATCGATCGAAGGGTAATATATTTATCATAATTGATTTTACTAAAAGGAAAACAAAAATCTCTTCCATATTTGTTTGATCCTTTTTCTTAAGAAATGTATTGGACTTGTATATATTGGTATTATTTATAATGCAAAGGCAAAAATTTCTTTTTGAAAAATTCATTTATAACCAATAGTCATAATTCATTTTATTTTTTCAATCTATTTCCAAGTGGCTTCTTGCATGAAGCCTTAAATCCAAGTGTTGAACGGCTTTGACAAGTGGCTATGCAAATCTACCATGTGTCTTCATGCATGGAAGATTAGATACACTTGTCAAATGGACTAATATATTTGGACAAGTGTTAAAGACTCTCTACACTTGTCATATATGCAACTTCCCTAATTGACGATAAATAAGATGATCATTAGCCATCATATTCACTCAATTCTTAACCAATAATTCATCTTGCTAATCATCACTTTCTTCCAACAACATTTTAATTTCTGTAACAATTACAGAAAAAACTTTCATCTTCTCTTCTTTCTGGGCAACTTTTTTGTGCAAATTCTAAACTTTTAGCCACGAGTGCACGTGTTTGGAGGTGTTGTGGAAACTTGGGGAGCGACCGGTCTTAACGATTTGCACCCAGTCGGGCCGAAACCGCTTTCAAGGTAGTGACTTGCCAGGACATAGTATTTTTGATAAGTTGTTCTTCTTTCCTTCTGTTGAGTTTCTTTTTAAGATGAAAAAGTCTTAAAAAGAGGGTGAATGGGAAATGAAGGGAAAATAAAATTTTGAGTGAAATTTTAAGTTTCCCTCTCTTGACAATGAGACATTGTCCCATATTGGATGAGGAAAAGGCTTTTGGTGGGTATATATACAATTGCTCTTCTTGTAGCTCTTAAAGAGTTAAGAAGAAGGCCAACTTCGCGTCGTCGTCGTCGTCGTCGCTCGCTCGGCTTCGGCTTCGGCTACAACTTCGGCTTCGAATTTGGATCGATTGATTGATTAATTTTTTGGACCAAATTTATTTGTTAATAGTGAATATTAATATAATATTATCCGTGTTTATAACGGAGTTTTCCAATCCGTGGATAGAATCCAAGTGTTCCAGCAGCCTAGTGTTTTTCCCACCATGGCCAAGTGCTTGCTCCATAACAGCAAGTGCTCCAAGTGATTGCTCCAATAGCAACCTAGTGCATGCTCCACCATGGGAAAATGAATGGCATTTCATCAGCTGGTTGCACTATAAATATGTGCAGTAGCTTGTTGAAAATATACGAACGGACAGAAACGGAATTGAGAGCAATCTGCCTGTTGTTGATCTCCTCTTCAGTTCAAACTCAACGTTGGCTATAAATTGCAGTCCTTCCACTCAGAATTCTCATTCAACTTCTGAGTTCTCCTCCCTTGTTCTGCATTGTTTTAAACTACAAACAAAGTAACCGTAAGTGTGATTTGCTGCCGAACTTTGTGTTCGCTGAAACACTGGGGTTTGAAGTACTGCTACACCAGTGTGTAATTCGTTCTATCTTGGGAGGAAATAATCCATAACCTTGGGTACTAGGAGGGATTAAATTCCTTAAAGAAACACTGTGAATTCAGTGGGCTCGAATTAATTACTTTTTTGTTTATATTTTCGTTTATACGCTAACTTTATTTTCTCGAGAATTATTATTTACAAATACAGCAAGTAAGAAGATACAACCAACAAGCTTAAGGAATTTTATTTTATTTCTGTATTTGTGTTATACTTACTGCTCTGGAGATTAAAACCTTTGTGGTTTTGTCTACTCCCGTTTTGGAGATTAAAGTCTTCGTGGTATTTTGTTGGAGATTAAAATCTACGTAATTTTTTACTCCAGTTTTAAAGCCTTCGTGGCGGTTTGTTGGAGATTAAAATCTACGTAATTTTTTACTCCAGTTTTAAAGCCTTCGTGGCGGTTTGTGTGAGATTAAAATCTACGTGATTTTTTCCTCCAGTATTAAAACCTTCGTGGCGGTTTGTTGGAGATTAAAATCTACGTGATTTTTTTACTCCAAGTTTAAATGTTTACTAAACGTTTGTTTTGTCATTCTTTTACAGAAAAAAATGACGAATGACAACGGAAACCAAACTGGTCTGATGGTGACTGCCAATGCATCGACATGGTTTCCGAAGAAGGGTCAAGCAAACATGATTGAAAAGCACGAAGATATTGATGACTTGTGTGCTATGGAGTGGTGGATTGATTCTGGAGCCACTCGCTATATTTGTTCTGTGAGGGAAGAATTTTCTACATATGTTTCTGCTGGGCCCGAAGAGACGCTTTCTATGAAAAATGCTGCAACAGCAAAAATTGAAGGATATGGGAAGATATTTCTCAAAATGACTTCTGGCAAAGTCATGACTTTGAACAACGTCCTTCATGTTCCCGAAATTAGGAAGAACTTAGTCTCTACTGGACTTCTTGTAAAGCACGATTTCAAGTGCGTGTTTGTATCCGACAAGGTGGTGATAAGTAAGAACAAAATATTTGTAGGAAAAGGTTACCTTACTAAGGGTCTTTTCAAGCTGAATGTAATAGTTGTCGAAAATAATAATAAAACTTCAGCTTCTTCTTACTTACTAGAGTCAAATGATTATGGCATGTACGTTTGGGTCATGTCAATTATAAAACCTTGCGGAAAATAATTAACTTGGAAGTATTGCCTAAGTTTGAATGCTAAAAATCAAAATGTCAAATATGTGTGGAATCTAAGTATATTAACCATCTTTATAAGTCGGTTGAAAGGAATTCAAATCCTTTAGACTTAATTCACATAGATATTTGTGACATGAAATCAATACCATCTCGCGGTGGAAAGAAGTATTTCATAACTTTTATTGAC